TCAGCATCCATACTTCTGCAAAAAACGTAGTTTCCATGAAATCCGTCGCATCTTCACTCCTTTTCAAAGGTATAAATTCTAAGAAGAAATCAGGTGTTAGACTCAGCCCGCGGAGATGAGTCTTCTATGTCATACAGTAGCGTCTTGGGTTTACGATGGGAAAGGTGGGAGGTCAACATTGCGAATCCGTCTGAAAGTTTGTCTACCAGGGTTATTTGAAACGCTGACCACAAAGATGCTACCACTACAAGATGCTTTATTGTAAGAAAATTGCTAGAACCACCTCTTCACAACGCGAGTTCATCCATAGACTATTGTAAAGTCAATTACTTCTCTCACTAGGCCTAGAGGAGAAAATTCTGGCCATTTAATAACTTCACTTTCAGTCGCACTTTTTGTGGAATTTCAGTCACTACCACTACATGTAGTTATAGCAGTATTTCAATAAGGTTTTTTTTCTCGCATTTGTGATTGCGAGGATAAGTTTTTCTTCCAATTCAATAGTTATTGTAATCATGAGGATGCCTATAGTGTAAGGTGTTGCTCAGAATTATGTAAATTTAGCTCGCCGATCGATGACACAACATAATCATACTAATTGCAGCACCAATCAGCAATTATCGAGCAAAAATCACAAAATTTCAGAACTCGTTGAATTCACCCAGTAGGGTTACTTGCCATGCTAGCGACTACAATAAACTTCGCCCGATAGGAACTCACGGTAGGGTGATCAAAGTTCTACCTGGAAAGTAGTCTGCTGCAGTTATTTGATATGCATCGTATCCATGCTACACAGTAGCGCCTTGTTGGAAACGCCGTATTTGTACGGTGCAAGGTCAGCCTGTGATTCGTTTAAACACCGCTTAGAAAAAAAGAGACTAATCAGAATAAAATGTAGCAACGTTAAGGGTGGAAACACTGCTGACGACCTAGTTTAGCTCAATTTCCATAATAAGAACTGGTGGACAAGTTAGAGTGCAAGTATTTTTCTTTTCTATGGTCTAATGATATGTTATAACCTCGAGGTAGCGTGATGAACTCAGAGTGGTCTCTTCTACCTACTTTCAACTTACCACATCTTTACAGCAAGGCACTACCAGAACATGTGGATGATTTGTTTTGATTATCAGCAGCATATCAAATAACCCTCTTAGGCGGAGTTTCAGAAGGATTTGCGATGTTGACTTCCTATGCTCCATCTTGATGGTATGCCTACCGTACATCTACGATGCTACTGTAGTGGACATAGAAGGACTTCTTTCGACGACTGGGTCTAACACCTTTTTTTCGGAAAATAATCATTTTAAAAGTTATGATGATGCTACGTTCCGCTATGGATTATTCTGTCTATTCGATTTTCATATGAAACCTGATTTTTGCAGAAGTTATGTAAAAAGTTATAAATGCATAATTTTGAGGATAAACCACGTGTTTAAGAAATTTAACGAAAAATCCTTACAATAAATTTTAGATTTTCCATAAATTAAGGTTGCTGTGATAGCCAGTTGGCGTATAGAATATAATTGAGATTTTTACTTGCGCTAGTGATGCAATATACGAAGATTGTAATATTGCGATTCTTTGTAAAAACTTTTTAGCAAACATTTCGAGTACTTCTTTTTCTTTCTATCTTCGCATTTTCCCGTTTACGCAAGGCCTGCTGTACGACTCAACTGTCTCCAGTATTCTTGCAAGACGAGATGTTAACTTATCCTAAGCTCTTTCAAGTTGGCTCATTCTGTCCATTCATCCCATCTTTGGCCTTCGCCGTGGTCTTTTTCCAGCGACCTCCAAAGACATGTGGGTCATCTCTTCTAGCTACATGCCCGCACCTTCGCAATCTTTTTTCCTGCATCTTCTTGGTGGTCCTCGAAGTGGGTCATTACGGAATGGTGATACTCAGTGTCCAACGCAGCATTCTTGTCTCTATGACATTAAGCTTGTGTCCTTCATTTTGCATACTGGGCCAACATTCGTTGCCATACAGAATTGTTGGATGGATCACCGTACGTTAGATTGGGAATTTAAGTCGAACTGGTTCGCTCATCACATAGAATTCCTGTGATGATTCTCCACATCCAGGCTTCGTTTGTCGTGGCCGATAACTCATTTTGAAGTCCTCCTCCGCCACAGATGCGACTTCCTAGGTACTTGAAATCTCGTATTCTTGTTCGGCTCAATCAATGTATATATGGTCTCTAAAGTTTGGCCTTCCTCTTTCGTATACTTTGTCCTCTTGTAGAGCTTCAAGATGTACGATCCTGATTAGTGCTTCTATCTCTGTACCTTTTTTTCAGAACCTTTTCTGTTTTCTGCCATCAAAACCACATCATCTGGAGACAGGAGAGCCCATGGGGCTGTCTTGAGACATTCCACCGCTACGTCTATGATTGCAATGAAGAGTAGAGGAGAGAGCACCGATCCTTGTGTACGTCGGTCTTTATGTGGAATGTTTTTGACTGCCATGCCGCAGTTTGCAAGTGGCTCTTGGCTCCTTGATGGATCATTTTCACCCGTTGGATGCATGCTTCCGGAAAGATGTGTTTTCGT